GATGATTCCCGAGAAGTGACATGTGTACCAGGCATACACAGAGCAGTGACTGAGCTGTGACTAGTTCTAGAAAACACAACTGTGCATTCCACCTCCCCCAGCAAAGATTACCACTTTTGCAGAGCAGGTAATAGGGACGACGACACCAGATGAACAGACACCTTGTCTTCTTTCGTGCCCAGCTCCGTCAGGCTTGCGATATAAACTAAGAATGGACATCACGCATGTACACCTGTTGTCTATCTGCAGTGACGGTGCAGGACGAGCGTCATATTACCCGCAGTATCAATCTGATCAGCAGATGGTGCCGGAATAATCTTTTTTTGTCTGGCTGTCGTCGTTTAATATCCAGACTCTCCGTGACGACGACCGTAAATCACTGGACGCTGTCGCTACATCATGTAAATAGCAACGGTGAGCCGAGACACATCTGGACCCATCACCCGTTTACCAGGTGCTTTTCTTTGCAACGAAACATGCTTTCTCCGTAGAACTACACGGTGGCACTCTTGATTATGACACCCTGGGACCAGCAATATCCTGACATTGTTTCCAAGCATTTGAAACCGGATTTGGGTCTTGGCAATTATCGCCTTCAGAAGGTAACAGCATATTTGCTGTCTGCACGTAAACCATTTTCCTTCCATTAATTAGCCACGTCTTTAAGTATTCTGATCGCAGTCATTCAGCAAACCTGATTAAGGCAACACCAACCTCAGAGGTGACCCCTGAAATTGCGTACGCAACGCAGTGTGGAATGCTATTACAGTCTACACATGCGGAACTAACGCTAGGGTTTGCGAACGCAGTAACGGGCTGGTAGCTGAAACGACGCAAAGGCAACAAACACATTGACTTAATAGCACCTACCGTGCATTATGACAATGTACAACACATGGATTGTGTAGCTGAGTGATTGATAGACAAACATTCACGCGCACACACAGACAGCCAATGGTGGATGTGTGAACATCCGATTGGCGTTGGTGTTTCAAATGCCATACGTGCCGACGGAGTTACTCTTCCTTTCGGGTTTTTCAACCCTAAAACTCTACCAAACTCAGTCGTTTCTTCCCCCACTTTAGATATCTTCAAAAAAGTCTGGTTTTTAGCTATGCCGCTTCGTAATGTAAACCGCTCTACTGTGGAATATCTCTGTGATATAGTCATACCGAATTCATGTGCCATAAAGATACTGAGAAGCGGTACACGGTGCTCGTCACTGTTTACGTTCCACCTCAACTCACACACATCTCAGACGGCTAAGATTCTTCTTCAACACCAATCGTAAGGTTTCAACTCAAGGACAGACTTCCCGTTCAAGTATTTCTTTATGTGTATACTCCTTCACTTATCCATGTCGAGCAAGATATATCGGAAGCATCAGCAGGAGACTGTCTGATAGAATCCATGAGCATTGCTCGCCTTGACTGTGTGGAAGTGGGACGAAAACAATGACGAGCGTCGTGTTGGCACATTTAGTTGATGTTAACCACCAAATCGATAGCTGCCAATGTTTCCAGCCTGCTTTATTTTTAGTTTCTCACAAAAATGCCATGATAACTGCTACTCACAGTGTGTTGTATGTTATCACGCAATTACCATTTCGAACTTTCGTCATGCCGCAGCTCATTTGAAGCGGTGGGTGCTTAGGCTGATGACCCATCTCTTCTGGTTGTGTAAATCTCATCCCAACCATCCTACGAGAGTAGTTAAGTATTGGCCTTTTCCTCGTGGATTAATCATTGTTCATTGATTATCTAAGCTGCCATAGGAACGGCAGCAACCGTGGCACACAATGCACTCATTTAATCATGTTTGAATGTGTACAGCCGCCTAATTAATCTTTCTACCGGTGCTCTTTTTCCTAGTTCCCTTCAACGGGATCAGCAAGCACAATTGGACCACCTGATCGGTCGTGTTAGACGCTGGAGCAGCCGATATGACGGACGTGCACCCTTGGAATTCAGTATCCATGATTCGATGGGAAGCTCAAGTATCCATTCAAGCACCCATTCAGATCAACGTTTGGAGGCGAAAACCGGATTCACAGATCACACCGCACGCATTGACGCGGAGCACGTCAGACCGACCTCGTCTCAGCAAAAATCACTCATAGATGTGATCACCCAAATAGGTGTGGATACAACTTCAGCAGTCTGTCAGACCGATCTGTCGCTCCTCAGCCAATCGATGGTCGACCCAGGACCACAAACTATCTCTGAGTTTAGAGCAATACACGTTGAGGAAAGCACTCGAGGTACTACTATCGGCTCAGGAATATCCGTTGGACCCGTGCTTCAACGTTTACCTTTGGTTGCTTCATCACCACCGAAGAGGGAAGTTTTTGACGCAATTTGCCAAATTGGCTTGGTTCAGGGGACTACGCACACACAGACAGACAGGGGCATGGGACTACATTCCACAGTTTTTCAGACTGACTCCGTATCACCACCCTCGAGGACGACAGCGGACACTATCTGCCAAGTGGGCTCAATCAGTCGTTCAACTGCTGTTCAAGCTGTGGAGTCCTTTATTAGTCCGCAATTACCTGTTTTGGCTCGTTCTGGATTTGATGTTGGATGTCAGGCGGAACTCATCGCTCAACCGCATACCAAAGTGCCGTTACGAGTGCAAGTGGCGCGGCCACTTCAAGCTTTGCCATCACGGTCGAAGCAAAATGCAGCTGCAACGCAAGCCGATCTCATTCCACCAAGGATGCCTACCGTGAATGTATTGGTGCAAACCGGAATTCTTACCAACTGGAAGACAACGCAAACGGATCCAGGTATTGAGCCCGAATTTGTGGCACGTTCCTTTACTTCGCGTCAACAGGCAACACCGATAAGTGGGTACGCAGATTATGCGATGTGGACAGGCTCACAGGGTTCATCGATGTCACACACTGCCTGCCAGATAGGAGTTGTACGCACTGAGAAGCAGTGTCAAACAGAAATGGATGAACCCCCACGCAGCCGAGCCAGGAGCGTTGACGTTCGGTCGCAAACCGCGATGTCCCCACCGGCCTCACGTGCTAAGAGCCATGATGTTTTGACACAAGTCGGAATCGTGCAAGAATCGAGAGGATTGCAGTTCGAGGCACCCTTTCCCGCGGCCATGTCGTTACCCATACGAGCGTCCACTTCAGATGTACAGATGCAGATAGGAGTGGTGAGAAAGGGTCAAGAAACTCAAACAGAAAAAGAGGAACGCTTGGACCGAAGAATGGTAGATAAACCCCTCGAGCGATTTGATGTTGAAGTTCAAAACGGTGTGCGAGGAATATCTGATTGGTGTCAGACGGAGGAAATGGTGTTACCTATGAAAAAACACTACGATGTCCAATTACAATCGGGAATTCGAAATACCTCCCAAGGTTTGCAGACGGACATAGAGGTTGTAACTGTTTTGAAGAGGTTCGATGTCGAAACCCAATCAGGTGTTAGAGACAAACCGGAGTGGTGTCAAACTGACATGGCAGTCGGGAAGAAGGCTGACGTCTATGATGTCGCGGTTGATGCAAATTTACGTCCGAAGTTGAAGGATTATTCGTTTGAGACAGAATCCCTTGCAGAATTAGAGCTGGTAGCTCCAGTGCAGCTCGCGCGTTCACCTGAACCACAGAATGACAAAGGTGTTCAAGCGTCTAGCCTGTCGACAAGCTGTGACGTTGAACTTCAGTCGGGGATTCGGGCTAACTCAATGAGTGTGCAGACAGACATGGGAGCACCAATAGTTGCGCCGAAAAAATACAATGCTGAGATCCAATCGGGTATCCGAAATAAAACGGACTGGACCCAAACAGACATGGCGAGTGTTAGCACAAGCAGTGCGATGACTCACACACCTCCATCCCCAAAGCCCAATGACTACGCTTGTGAAACCGACGCGCCGCTTGAAGTAACCAGGGTGGAACAGGTGAGGATGGCCCCCACTTGGACATCGAAGGAAGAGATGGGAGTGCAAGCAGAATATGTGTCTACAAGATACGATGTCCAATTACAATCTGGAATCAGGACTCGTGCCGATGAAACACAGACAGACGACTTCCTGGACGTGCAGGTGTATGCGCCAGTACGCAGCGTTCGACCCGCAACAACTACATCGGAGAAAGATGTGCAGGCTGTTGTTGTGCAGGAAAGATATGATGTGGAAGCACAATCAGGAATACTAGACAAGTCACGGAGTATTCAAACGGATGCGGTAGTGGCCGATATTGTACCGATGATGACAGTGAAGAGATTCGATGTTGAGGTTCAATCAGGAATCCTAGATGATTCACATGGTGTGCAAACAGAGATTCAAATGAAGGCTAGTATGCCGAAGAGATACGATGTGGAGACGCAATCAGGTATTCGTGAAAAGCCAGAGTGGTGTCAAACGGAGTTGGAACTGAGAAAGGCGTCAAAAGTATTCGATACTGAGGTTGATGCGACCATGTGGCCAGATATGAGAGATTATGTGCTGGAAACGGAATCGGTACCGGAGGTAGAGTTGGTGGCACCCATGCAGCATGCGCGGCCTCCCATAAAAGTGGATGACAAGGGTATGCAGACGTTTATTCGTTCGACGACGTACGATGTTGAAGTACAATCCGGGATTGTCGAATATTCACGGGGTGCGCAAACAGAAACGCAGACTTTGGCTGCTGAGTCGCGAAAGTCCTACGTTGCGACACAAACTGACATGGAACTCAGAGAGAAGGCTGCGTTTTTTGATTCGGTGGTTGATGCAACACTACAAGAAGAGATGAAAGATTATCTGCTCGAAACCGAATCAATACCGGCAGTAGAGTTGATGGCTCCAGTACAGCATGCGCGCCCTCCGGTACAGCAAAAGGATAAGGGTATTCAAGCGAGCATGTCGGTGACAACAGATGACGTTACACTTCGCTCGGTTACTTACGGTAAAGCAGAGGGGGTTCAGACCGAGTGGACAGCGGAATCTTCAGCGCCGAAGAAGTTTCACGTTGCGATCCAATCTGGTATTACAAACCAAACTGAGTGGACTCAAACAATAACCGAACATGGAACCACTGTCGTCACCAGTCGCGCGAATGTTCATGCTGCTCTACAGTATGCGTATCGAGATTATACTTGTGAAACCGACACGCCGCTCGAAATAACCGGTGTGGAACGGGTGAGGATGGCCCCCACTTGGACATCAAAGGAAGAGATGGGAGTGCAAGCAGAATATGTGTCTACAAGATACGATGTCCAATTACAATCTGGAATCAGGACTCGTGCCGATGAAACACAGACAGACGACTTCCTGGACATGCAGGTGTATGCGCCAGTACGCAGCGTTCGACCCGCAACAAATACATCGGAGAAAGATGTGCAGGCTGTTGCTGTGCAGGAAAGATATGATGTGGAAGCACAATCAGGAATACTAGACAAGTCACGGAGTATTCAAACGGATGCGGTAGTGGCCGATATTGTACCGATGATGACAGTGAAGCGATTCGACGTTGAGGTTCAATCAGGAATCCTAGATGATTCACATGGTGTGCAAACAGAGATTCAAATGAAGGCTAGTATGCCGAAGAGATACGATGTGGAGACGCAATCAGGTATTCGTGAAAAGCCAGAGTGGTGTCAAACGGAGTTGGAACTGAGAAAGGCGTCAAAAGTATTCGATACTGTGGTTGATGCGACCATGTGGCCAGATATGAGAGATTATGTGCTGGAAACGGAATCGGTACCGGAGGTAGAGTTGGTGGCACCCATGCAGCATGCGCGGCTTCCCATAAACGTGGATGACAAGGGTATGCAGACGTTTATTCGTTCGACGACGTACGATGTTGAAGTACAATCCGGGCTTATCGAATATTCAAGAGGTATGCAAACAGACCTAGCATCGATGGTCGTCTCGGGGAAGAAGTACGACGTCGCGGTCCAATCAGGCATTTGTTCGAGGGCGGAGTTGTGCCAGACTGATATGGAGTTCAAAACGAAAGCCCAGGTATGTGATGCCGAGGTGGACGCTTCCATGCTACATGTAAGGAGTGATTACGTGCTTGAAACGGAATCGCCACCGGAGGTAGAATTGGTGGCACCCATGCAGCATGCGCGGCCTCCCATAAAAGTGGATGACAAAGGTATGCAGACGTTTATTCGTTCGACGACGTACGATGTTGAAGTACAATCCGGGCTTATCGAATATTCAAGAGGTATGCAAACAGACCTAGCATCGATGGTCGTCTCGGGGAAGAAGTACGACGTCGCGGTCCAATTAGGCATTTGTTCGAGGGCGGAGTTGTGCCAGACTGATATGGAGTTCAAAACGAAAGCCCAGGTATGTGATGCCGAGGTGGACGCTTCCATGCTGCATGTAAGGAGTGATTACGTGCTTGAAACGGAATCGCCACCGGAGTTGGAGTTGGTCGCTCCAATGCAACATACCCAGCCTGCTACACAAACGGATGATAAGGGTGTACAGGCATTTACCCGATCGGTGTTATACGACGTTGAAGTCCAGTCGGGGCTTGTCGACCACACACAGGGCGTGCAAACAGAGGCACAAAGTGCGGCTGTTGCCTTGAGGAAGTTTGACGTTGAGCTTCAATCTGGTATTCGCGATAAGTCGGAATGGTGTCAGACCGATGTTGGATACAGGCCGGTGGTTGAAACCCAGGATGCAGAGGTTGATGCTGCTCTGGATACCGCGTCGAGAGATTACACGCTTGAAACAGATGCTTTGCTGGAGGTTCAGGTTGCACAGCCCGTGTTGGCTTCTCGTGCATATATTGACAAGGAGGATATCGGGCTTCAGGCTGCAATGGTGCCTGCCAGATTTGATGTGGAGTTGCAGTCGGGTGTGACCACCGCTGAAGGCAAGACGCAGGTGGATGAACTTCTGAAACCAGAAGTGTCTGTCTCAAACCGATCTGTGCAAACCGCTGTGGAGTCGGTATCTCCAGTGTTTAACAAGAAGTTGCAAGTATGCTTGAGCCCGATCCCTGTCGATGCGATTTTACAATCAGATGACGCTGTGGTGAAGGACCTGTCGGCAACAGTGCAGCGAGAACCATTGAAGAAAGTTGATATAGGGTTGCAAACTGTAGTGAGCGATCGGACGGAATGGTGTCAGGCGGATTTGGGGTTGAGGACGAAGGTCGAGGTTATGGATGTTGGAGTGGATGCATCTATGCGGCACGTGAGAAGCGATTATTTGTTCGAAACGGAGTCGTTGCCAGCGGTGGAGTTGGTGGCTCCGATACAGCATGCGGGGCCTCCGACGCAGACGGACGACAAGAGCATGCAAGCGTTTATCCGAGCGGCGACTTTTGATGTTATTGCTCAGTCTGGATTAGTCAGTACTTCGCGCGGCGCGCAAACTGATGCGGCGCCGATGGCTGTCTTGGCGAAGAAGTTCGATGTCGAAACCCAATCTGGTATCTGTTCTAAGGCGGAGTTGTGCCAGACTGATATGGAGTTCAAAACGAAAGCCCAGGTACGTGATGCCGAGGTAGACGCTTCCATGCTGCATATAAGGAATGATTACGTGCTTGAAACAGAATCGTCACCGGAGTTGGAGTTGGTTGCTCCAATGCAACACGCCCAGCCTGCTACACAAGCGGATGATAAGGGTGTACAGGCATTTACCCGATCGGTGTTATACGACGTTGAAGTCCAGTCGGGGATTATCGACTACTCACGGGGCGTGCAAACAGAGGCACAAAGTGCGGCTGTTGCCTTGAGGAAGTTTGACGTTGAGCTTCAATCTGGTATTCGCGATAAGTCGGAATGGTGTCAGACCGATGTTGGATACAGGCCGGTGGTTGAAACCCAGGATGCAGAGGTTGATGCTGCTCTGGATACCGCGTCGAGAGATTACACGCTTGAAACAGATGCTTTGCTGGAGGTTCAGGTTGCACAGCCCGTGTTGGCTTCTCGTGCATATATTGACAAGGAGGATATCGGGCTTCAGGCTGCAATGGTGCCTGCCAGATTTGATGTGGAGTTGCAGTCGGGTGTGACCACCGCTGAAGGCAAGACGCAGGTGGATGAACTTCTGAAACCAGAAGTGTCTGTCTCAAACCGATCTGTGCAAACCGCTGTGGAGTCGGTATCTCCAGTGTTTAACAAGAAGTTGCAAGTATGCTTGAGCCCGATCCCTGTCGATGCGATTTTACAATCAGATGACGCTGTGGTGAAGGACCTGTCGGCAACAGTGCAGCGAGAACCATTGAAGAAAGTTGATATAGGGTTGCAAACTGTAGTGAGCGATCGGACGGAATGTTGTCAGGTGGATTTGGGGTTGAGGACGAAGGTCGAGGTTATGGATGTTGGAGTGGATGCATCTATGCGGCACGTGAGAAGCGATTATTTGTTCGAAACGGAGTCGTTGCCAGCGGTGGAGTTGGTGGCTCCGATACAGCATGCGGGGCCTCCGACGCAGACGGACGACAAGTGCATGCAAGCGTTTATCCGAGCGGCGACTTTTGATGTTATTGCTCAGTCTGGATTAGTCAGTACTTCGCGCGGCGCGCAAACTGATGCGGCGCCGATGGCTGTCTTGGCGAAGAAGTTCGATGTCGAAACCCAATCTGGTATCTGTTCTAAGGCGGAGTTGTGCCAGACAGATATGGAGTTAAGGGCGATGAAGGATTACGCGCTGGAAACTGATTCATTACCTGAGGTAGAGTTGGTGGCTCCAATAGAACATGCGCCACCACCCATACAGGTGGATGATAAATGCATTCAGGCGGTTGGTGGAGTAGTGCTCTATGATGCAGAGTTGCAGTCGGGTGTCACAACCTCTATCGGTGTTACCCAGGTGGACGAATTCTTGAAACCGAAAGTGTCCGTTTCGGGTCGATCTGTGCAAACGGATGACCAATCGCCGTTATCTGTGTTGAACAAGAAATTGCAAGTACGTTTGAACCCGATTCCCTTTGATGTTACTGTACAATCGGACGATGTCCCTATGATGGACTTTTCAGCATTAGTTCAGCAAGCTGCTTTGAAGAAATTTGATGTTGAAGCTCAAGCAGGTTTGATGTATACATCCGAATGTTCTCAAACTGATATGGTGTTTAAATCCAAAGTTGATGTACTTGATGCTGAAGTGGACGCATGCATGAGACCAGCGATGGGAGATTATGTGCTGGAAACAGATTCATTGCCTGAGATAGAGTTGGTGACTCCAGTGCAACTTGCGCGTCCTCCCGCACAGCTGGATGATAAAAGTGTGCAAGTATCTAGTCGAGCTGTGGTTTACGACGTGGAGCTGCAGGCCGGAGTAACGACGTCTAATAGTGTCACACAGGTGGATGATGATCTCTTGAGACTGCAAGTACCCATCTCGGGCCGATCTGTTCAAACCGATGTTGAATCAGCGGTGTTGCCTGTAGTGAACAAAAAATTGCAAGTTTGTATCAATCCAATTCCCGTTGACTCTACTTTTGATGCAATTGAGGATTTCAGGTCAGGTTATGGGGCTGGGTTATCAAGAGTCCCTCGAATAGATGTTGGCCTACAGTGTGCGATCTCACCCCGTTTATTTGACGTTGAACTGCAGTCTGGCTCTACCCAGTCGACAGTTGCTTCACAAACAGAAGCTGATCGTTATGTCAGTTCAGCTGTTGCATTCGGTGTCGAACCCGTTTCCTCATTTGCAATTCCGGTGGATTGTGTTTTAACCACAGATGCTCCGCCTGACCCTATCGTAATTCCTTCAATCCAAAGTTCTACAAGCCGACCAGCCTTATCCGCAGTGAACAAAAAGCTCCAAGTTTCTCTGGACCACCATCTTCAAGTCTCAAGCATTAATCAAGCTTCTCAATGCGAAGAGGTTGCAAAGCATCCTGTCATCAATTCAAACATTCAAGTCAATCTGAGATCAGAGCGAAGCGAGGCATCCACGCAGTTTGTCGATATGTTGGAGAAGGCTCAAGCACCAGTTCAGTCTGCAAGGATTTCTACTTCTACTTCTGTTGCTGTTCAATGCGATAGAAGACAGTCATATCGGGATGCTTCAACTCATTCTGAACTGTTTGCGATTTCTAAAGGTGAACTGCAGCACATGGAAGCTAAACCTATCGTTGAGATGACAACGAAAGCTTCTCATTATTACGGAGACACCACCCGTATTCCGGTTCCCACTCAAGTCACCACCGTTAGCTATCAATCTGTGCAGCCAATACCGAGTCATTCGTCGCAGAGATTGGTCGATGCGTACTGCGAAGTCATGTACCCAACATCGGTCATTCAGGTTACTACACAGTCCCAAGCTTTGAGCCAACCTCGAGAGAGTACTATTATTACATTGGCCAAGACCGCTACATCTTACGTGCAACCACATAGCGCGGAGTTCATTTCCGCTACGCCCATCAGTAGTGCACCAAAAGCTCCCATCTTGGTGGATAGTAATTTCGGTTTCACCCACACGCAGAAGAACAAAAAGTGTCAGATAAATTTGCTAGATGGTTCTTCCGCAAGATCACAAATGTTAAATAAAAAACTGCAGACTCAAGTACGACAAGAAGACGCTTCTTGCGAATGTATGCTGGTAGACAGCCGCAGTTCACCCATCACTCCTGCTGGTCAGACGGAAGCACAGGTACAAGCCACTCCTTACTCACTCAACAAGAAACTGCAGGTGAAAATCCAACCAACTACAACTGTTTCCGCAACTCTGACCGAGTGCGCTAGTGTCGAGGTGCGACTGCAACCGGTTGGCTCAAGAGTATCGACTCGCGATGCCGGTGTGATGAGCGAACCCTTGGGTGCTCAACAAGTCTGGACACAGTGTGCCGAAGTTTTTGAACCAACATCCGTGCCACTGATTAAAGCTGAGGCAGGTCATGTGAAAGAAGTGTTGGATATGCCGATTGCACGCTCTGAAGCTCCAGCAGAGACACTCGCGGCCTTGGAACCCGTTGTCAGTCGGGGCAGGGTGCACGCAATGTTGGAGAAAACTCCGGCCCCAACAGTCACTCAATTAGTTACCAAAGGTTCATCATTTCAGTCTGAGCGACTGGAGACCGCGCACAAAATGTTCTCTCCCCTGTACACACAGACGCAGTTGCAGCTAGAGGTCCCGAGAAGCGACGAGTGGAGTCAAACAGTCGGAGCTGAACCTGAACTGGAAAGCATTCGGAGGTCACCAGTCCCACAAACTCGTCATGTGCGTATTCAGAAGGGTAGTTCGTGGCTTGTATCCAGACAACAGGATGTTGAGGTTCAGGCAAGTCCGCTTACTTCGACAGAAGTTGAGATTCGCCTTACTGATTTAATTCAAGGGGCTCCGCGAATAGACGTCCCTGACAGTGGTGAAGCAGGTGTTACCAAACCTCATGGTAGTAGACCAAGCTCCACAACTTCCCCAACAGGTTCGATACGGGGTCTGAGGTACCCAAGGCAGGAAGCAGTTAACTGGGGTGTCCAATGCACACCTCTCACATTGAATGGGGTCACCCAAACCAGTGATTTGACTAGGACAGAGTCAGGCTCGGATATATCTGATCATTCAACAACAGCTGTTAGACGGCCAAAACATTACGGAGGAACCTCAGTTGGACTTCAGACCTCATTCGACGATGAGTACACCATAAAGCGAGTCGTAACAACTATCGCACGTAGAGGTAACGTGTCGGTTCATAAACGCAGCACACCAGTTGTAAGATACATGCATGCGCGTGGACGACCCTCGCTACTCACGACTAGCCTCCCAAGTCATCTGGATGAACAATTACTTGCTGGAGCTGAGGATGATGAATCAGAAGACGGGTATGAGACCCCAACAACAGCAAAGGTCACAACCTTCAGTGTGGATGGCGAACGCCGGGTAGTACGCGACGATTTGCATTTCGGACCTAGAGGCAGAGGGCGGTCTTTGGATTCCCGTCTAGGGCCTCATTCACATCTTGGCGGTTCTGATATGTACGAAAGTGATTTGGCGGATATGCATGACGAAATCCACATGCAATCACAGGCTGAGATGTACTTCGACAAGCTGCTGAGAACTTGGGGCGCGCCTTATCTGCTGTCACGTCTGAGCCGTCGCGGAAGTGCGATGAGTGTTGACCGAGATGTGAACGGTACCGATGGGAGTCGTCTGGCTCGTTTGATAGGCGTCAAAACTCAGTACACCTCAACTGGGAATCTTGCCGCTTATCACCAGGGTGGCGGCAACACGCGCACCACAGAAACCCAAACAGCCGGGCTTCTCCCACAAGGCCGACCTCCTCATAGGAACAAGCGAATTCAAAGGGGGCAGAGTTATATCTCTTGGACACCTGGTCAAGCCCCCGTACCAGTTGCTGAGATTTCTCCGACAGTTGGAGAATCTCCACTGGGGTACACGCAGCAGCACGCTACACCAAGCTTCGGTTTCTCTTCTACCTACACCGAGACGATACGGGAGAGAGTGGCCACTTGTGGGAGGATGGATGATTATGTCTGCCCCAACTGCGGATATCACGCACATCTGCCACAGTACAGACCTGGTTCGATGTCAACAGTACAGCCTTTGCCGATCACTCAGCTACGCAACGTTACTTGCCAAACTGCAGAGATGGGTGTAGATGCAATCGATCCCGTAGGACAAACTCTCCCAATTTACATTACTGATGAGGATTTGATGCATATAAATCCACGACAACACTTCAGTGAGGACCAACTACTTTCCAAGGTAACCTGGTGTGAAGCTGGCGGAAGTTTGAAGGTCGGAGATTCATCCAGTAGTTCACATTTGGTGGATGAGGTTTGGATCGATAGTCCAGGCAAGCTCCTCGAAGTGCATACTACCGGTGTGGTGATACCCGGCTCCGATAGGGTTATCAGTGCGGCTGAAGCATTTTACAGAGGCATCCTCCGGGTGGTATACTGGGATTACACAAAGGCTGCGCCAAGCTCAATGCTACTTGCAGAGTCGGGCATTGTAACTCCAATAGCAGATGCCGTTGTGGCGGATCTAGTTCGACTAGCTTGTTACTCGCCCGAACGCGTGATGATGGGGAAAACAGATCGCTCTGCATTATCGATAAATACCCATGTCGTATGGACCACACCGGAGAAGCACCGGACAAGGTATGCAGTCCACGCCGTGAGACCCGAAGGAGAACGTCAGGGCGCATCTTACAGCGTCGCTTCAGCATTCGCCGCGGGTTATATAAGGAAGGATGATGGGCAGCTTGCTCTCAGACACCCCATGTATGCAGACGTTGGATATGAAACGGGTGTACAATCCCTCTATTCAGATACAGTAGAGAAAATTTCAGTGCAAGAGGCTATAGTTCGAGGCATACTGGATGTGGAACTCATCGCAACCGATTCTCCGTCCGTCCGAGCTCAAATGACCGCGTACGAGAAAACACCTTATCGTTCTGATTACTCTCCTCACGATGTGGATGTTTGAATTCTGGCCTAGATTCGACACAGCAGTGTTTCGCGCCAGGTGCACGGTTGTGCGTCCAAATTTCTGTTCTCATTTGAGCGATGGGCATTATCACACCACATCTCTTTTCACAAACGCTGTGATCGTTCAGCCAGATGAATCAGAATACGGAATTCTCCTAGCCACACCTTTCGTACACATTTTATTCTTTTGGGGCCAATATGGAATTCCATCTTATACTTTCTGACCCAAACCAGACAGAACCAGCATAACTACGACCAATTAGATGTAAGCCTCTGCCTTTGACCCACCTTATTGTTTCACTAGCTGATGTTGTGACGAATCTTCTTGATTATTTTACTTCAGAACTACTACTTCAGCAAAGTGTGAATTAGGCTTTTGTGCGCTTTGTTTGCGTCTGGGTATTATTGCACTGTACTTCTTCAATCACTCCGTGTGACTTGCCAACTCTCCCTTTTGAAATCTCCTGTTCAATTTTCTATCATTTGATGCTTTATAATCGAAATTTGAATCAATTGCTGCAGCCAATCAGATCTCAGCACATCTCTTTCTTCTGTTGTGTCGGATCCTCGCGACTGCTTCCACCCACTAACGGTAGTGAGAACACCAACAACCGGGCAACAAACGATGTTCACGCCGCAGGCCAAACCGGCCACCAAGTGTCTGTGTGTGCAACTCAATCACATGATTCAAATTAGGGCATATCACAGGCTATGCAGAAAGCCTGACAATCGATCAATCAAAGCTAGTCATTACAGGGGCGAAGGATCGATACGGTGTCTCATGAACTAGCGAAATGTACAGAGTAAGGGAAGCCATTAAGCGTAAGATCCAGTGTCAACCCAAGCTAATCACAAAGGTGAAGCAAAAGTGAGCGTATGCGAGGAACCATAAAAGAGGGTGAGGTGAATAGGTTGAGTGGGGCAAAACTCACCAAACGACGCGGAGTAGTAGAGTATTCTTACCTCCAAGATAACATTTTCTTAATGTTCGTCTGGTAGGTGCAAGGGATTTCCTTGGTTGCCTTTTACAGGCCAGTGATGGATATGTGAAGTGGCTTCGCCACCAATACATGTCTCGCTAGATTCACGGTCCATTGTACGGCGGACGCGCTACAGCGTACTTTGGTGGTTCACAGTCTATATGTGCAATCTAAGGCCAGGTTAGTTCCTGTCATGGTCCAGACTTGATACAAGCTCTCGCCTGATGGGCGTCCTTCTTCCTGTACCGACAAGCAACCTAGGGCCCTCGGTAATTCCACCGCCGGCTGACTCACTTTGCTGTTGCAAAGAAAATGAAGCAAGAGCGAAAGCAAACTACGTACTTTCATGGATCAACACACAAATTCTCACAGCTGCAATTAACACGAAGTTTACAAGAATCCTGTGGAATGATCCGACCTTTTGCAGGTCACTACCGTACCGCATTCCAGTTGCTTACTGGAGGATGTGTTAGAGATTTCACCCTGATTTTCTGTTTGGCTTTCGGTTGTTTTAGTTTCAGGCAATGTCCCCGCTTATGACGTAGTTTGCAACTCAAGTCAAGAATGTGCTTTACGCACCCTTGAAGGGTGAATATTCAGCTCTAACAGGCACGCCACGTACAGGGATAAATAAGGAGAACGAATAACACATGAGAATAGGTATAACAACACAATCGTTATAAAAACCTTGACCGAACAAATATTATTGGGATAGTTCAATAGCCATTTCTTGAGTGACCGGGTTTTTATCCTTCACTACATGTGACAGGCAAGGAACTACTGATGTACCGCAGGCCCTTGTGCGGGCGCATACAGTTTTTTTTCGTCGAGGAGGTTGATACGCATTCAGACAACATCCTGCGCACTGGGTGGATAACATCAGTGAGTACTTAAAAGTAAGCTCGTTACATGAGTTAACATGGCTGGCTACATTGATGTTTACAAGTTCCAGCTTTGAAATGCCACCACATGGGGATAGCTGCTTCACTTATCTGGCCATTACTTTGAGGTCCTGACGTAGGAGACCAGGAAAGATCACGGGGGATCTATAAGTCCAGTGGGGTAACACATGCAATGATAAAACGTTGGATCGAAACTTGTGCTCGGAAAGAAGGCCTGTGACGTGTAACAGAGTGAGTGCCTTCTAACTTCAATGAATGTTTCGTTCACGTGAAGGGACCACGTAAGTCCACGGCTCAATGTCACTCTCAGGTATCTTACTGAGGTGGAAGAGGTCAAAAACTCGTCGTCAATGCAAGTTTGCGGACACGGCGTAAGGATTTGCTGGTAACAATTTCCTGTGCACAGCGGTAAAAAGAAATCCTTGCATTTTAAGGTGTTCACCGGTAGGCAGAGTTTTGGACCAAGCTGTGAGGTTGTCCAGGAGAGTTTTTAGTTCGACCAATGACTCAATGCTTGGATGGTGTGAAGTCATGGCTTACATCGCCCACATACTTCAGCAAGATGGCTTTTTCAGAAACGGGGATTGAGGCAATGTAAGTGGAAAATGCGCATGGGGACCAAATGGTCCCCCGGAGAACACCAGAGTTCATGGTGAGTGAAGGAGAGTTTTTCCCATTAACCTGGTATACTAGGTATGCCTCGAGAAATACTTTTAAACAGGAAAACAATGGTGCTTTGAATTCCAGTATCTAATAGATCGCGCAACAGTAGTTCACGATTGACACATACGAAAGCGTTGCCAATCTCCAGGATGCAGACACGGAATGATTTGTGTAGATTATCTAATACGTATTAACGAATTGGGCAAAAACAAGACAAAGCAAGCTATAAGGTGTATCGAGCGAAGCAGTGCGACATGGCTCACATGATACAAGGGTTAAAACATGCGTGAGGAACTACTGATTGGTCAATACGGGGAAAACCAATAAGAAAGCGGTGCGGCCGAACTAACTAATCAATATGATCGACGGATGTAACATCCAATGACGAGCGCATAGTATGTACCAGACGTGCTACTGCATCTAAGGCAGAGTTTGAGCTGTGATATGTAAAATGACCCGAGTCATCCAAATGGGTCTGAGCTGATTCTTTTATGAATAAGGTTTCTCAATCTTCTTCAAAGCAATCGACTTGCAAGCGATCGGCCGATATTTGCAGATTTCCACTTTGGCGTTGGCGTGATGCGCTTCGCCAATGCTAAGCTATATTTGCTTGCTTGGAGCAGAATGGGCAAAAGTTGTTGAGACGCTATGCCAGGTAACCTGCACTGTTCCTGAGATACAGGAGACAGTATATGCGGACCAGGTGCTTTGTTCATTTGCAACCCGATTAATTCCCCGTCTACTTCTAGTCTGTTTACAACAGGAATTTTAGCTGTAACGCAACAGAGGATATAACAAAGAATGAAGTACTATCCTGAGCACGGAAATTGTGGTCTAGTTTTTCCATTTCCGGAGTTGCATGCGTGAACTCGCGGGTGACTCCGTTTAACTGTTGAACCCATTTACATATTTCACGACAATTATTGTTACCGAGAATGGCTTGAATGTAGATATGGTAGAGGTGACGCAATTCCATTATAACATTAATCGGTGGAGACTTTACCGATGCGACGTCTCTGCGATTACAAAGTCATTTAAAAAATTGAGACGAGAACCTGTCGACACGGTAAAATTAATTTCAATTGGACAAGTATCGAAACGGAAGTGTAAGCAACTGATTAACTGGTCATAATAGTTCGATAGGTCCGCAACGTAAAATAAACTAAACTCTGTAAAAGCAATGGTTTCACGCGGTCGCTGGATGTCATGGGGAAGGCATTGTTTCCGTCTGAACTTTCGATCTTCGTAACGAGTGGGACCTTTATGGTTCATCTTATTATAAATAAGTTTGCTATAGATAACTTTATGATGGCATGATCAGAGTTCGAAAGTGGCGCCCGCTTGTAAAAAGAAACCACTTTCAGGTTGTTAACAGGTGTTGTATCCAACCCCGTTTGAGATTGTACTACTTTCTTTAGTCTGAGGCTTGCAATGAAGCTGGCGTCAGATGTGTTAAAATTGCCGGAAACTATGCACAAGAAGAGCTCTAGGTATTTGGGGATCGCAGTCCTAAATCCGTCGCAAACTTCTTCGTCTTCATAGCTTTAGCAGCTGGTTGAGATATAAAAATCAGGCAATAAAATTGAATGATAACCGCTCAGTAATCTTGGTTTGCATTTCACAAGTAAACAGCTGTTGTGTTACCAGATGTACTGAGAAATGGTTTTAATCGAGGTGCTCCATGAATACTTAACGTATATGAAAAGACACCACCGCGGTTCCTCTGTGTACATTGGCGGTCAATACGAAGGGAGCGATATCCATCGAGTTCCGAAACTGCACCTTCAACATCAACGTGAAGCCAGGCTCCCTGCAGCATAATGATGCCCAAACGAGAACACTCGCAAAAATTTATAAAACTTTAAAGGCCTTCTAATTTTCAAAGTAGCGATTGAATATTAGCACTAGGTAAAACAGGTAGGCTCATATTTCCGATATGTTTCCTCGGAACTGCAGTCCGTCATCGTGCACGGTGCTTTTTGCATAAAATTATTTTGCCTCTTTTTATTTCTTCTTAAGTTGTAGCCGTCGCATCAAACGTTAAGTGCATGACAGACGGTCAGGAGAGGGCCAGAGTCCTCACAACTTGTTTATGCACACAAAACTGTCAAATTGGCATCATTTGGATAGTCTTTTTGCCACAACAACAGAAGCCATACCTAATCCGTTGCCTTACTCAAAGAGCAATGAAAATTTGCTCGGAAGATAGGATTATACAGGAAAGTGTAAAAATAATTTAACCATTTCTTACCAATGGCTACACCGGGCCGTTCATCGACAGAAACATGCTGACTGACCAGGGCGATGTTAAAATGTCTACAGTAGCAAAAGAAAATGTGTATATATCATTGTCTTGTACAGATGGTAACGCAGCCGCGCTTATTAGCAGAAGCCTCAGAAGTGCACTCAGGATCACGTATTTTGAAGAACAACTAAGAATGTGCTACGCTTCCACAGCTGTGTTAACTCTACAACTGAATAATAAATTGTCAGTGGATGCCACTCCTTTTGTGTGCATCAATTTACTTGTTCCTGTGAAATAAACTACATAGGCAGCACCACAAGACATTTAGCCGAATGTGTACGAGAGCATCAACCAGTGTAGTTGGGTCGTGGAGTAGGCAGAACTTGCACCATTGCGATTGTCGCATATCTGGCCGATACTAATCACTCAGTTGTCACCACAAGCGCCTTCCACCCGATCTATCGCCTGAAAGGAGTCCGATCCGAAGTGACTAAATGCCGCATATTTGCTATGACAGACGCGATTTCTATCCGTCTTAGCCCCTGTTTTTTACTTGGTTTCGTATGGCTTGATCAGGGAAAAGTGCTCAGTTCATTTGCTTGAAAGCACCCAAATATTTCGAAGTATCGGGTGTGTAAATGATCACGTTGAAAAGCGATACCGGTTACCCAAACGTAGAAACGATCCAAAATTGCTTGCAGTCATTTCCTTTCAGAAATTTTAAGAGAGCAAGAACGAACAGCATTT